ACACACACACACACACACAGACAACCCGTCATTAATATGCGTTTTCTGCATTGCATAGCTGCAAAAAACGCATAAAAAGTAAGCCAAGGCTTTGGTTCAGAGTAGAGATGAATAATCAGGCGCATGCTCGTATTTGTCATCATTTTTTAAGAAAAAGAAATCGCGACATCCGCGGTATCTGTTGATTGCGGGGAATACTAACGAGGGTTGAATCGTCGAAAATTTTCTTTAAAAAAGTGAGTGTAAAGTGATTTATCATGACAAAGAAACCTCAAATTCCGAGCCCTGCTGTTTCGCCCATTTTCGCAGTTTCTCCGCAAGTTGCTCCAAGCTTTCAGTCGTGTTATCACGGATAGTGAGAAATTCTTCACAAGCCTCATCACTCAGTTGCGAAAAAGATCGTGCATCAAATGGAGCAGTGCAGCGCGTTCGAAGGAGCCACTTTTTGTTCATGTACAATGGAGTGGATTTTGTGTTCGTTTGAAAACTTTCATTAATTATGGTTTTTTTATCATCTGAAAAATTAGAGCTGCCTGTCCGAAAGGTATCAAGAAGTCGCCTGAGTACAAATATGGGTATTCTGTTTATTGTTCAACTATCTTTTTTCGAAGACTATGGTTCTAGAGCGGCCCTTATTCAAATTGAACCTTCAAGACTCTTTTTGTTTTGGATGATATTTTTTGGACAGAACAGGTAGCTAATTACTTTCACGAAAGAACTTCATAAAAAGCATGAGCGCATTTGATAAGCAAGATACGAAGCAGAAAAGTACAGACTGAGGAGAGAGTTAACGTCTAATAACGAGGAAAATTAAACTTGCAACAATCCTGCACTTCCTTTCGCAAAAACTTCAAACATTCGTTCCTAAGGACTGTTCCAAATTGAAATCTGAGATGAGCTCTAAGCTTCAGAACGCGATATTTGATGCTGGGTCGCAGCTATGGTGTTTGCTAAATATTTATCTCCAATTTACACATTGTCCGTAGAAAAATCAGACAAAATATTTGATGTCTCACGGAAGTAGCAGCATACCTATTACAAATTAATGGTAGACACAGATCGCCTTAACACTGGTAAACAGATTTGACGGAAAACTTCGTCTTCGCGCACCTGCATCTAATACCAGCAACGCAGATAGCTCTCACGCACTCTATTTCCCAAGTATGAACACGCGAAGACGAAACTGTAAGACCGCCACCACTTTTCCGACAGTAAAACGAGACAAGCTAGGGAGCAGGAGCTGTGTGAACATTATATCTCCAAACGCAAACTAATCCTCAGGATCCGTAAATCATCTTTTACGAATTTTTGTGCGCTACGGAGTTGTATGGACAGCCTCAGCATCTGTTTCAGGGCAAGCACTAATATCCTTTGTTCGAACGGCATTTATTACTTTAGTGGGGATAAAATACACAAACCAATCGTCTGGTTTTAGCTTAGGTAAAATTTTGCGACAGATTCACGACGTTCAAAGAGCTTTTACGTAAAAAAAAAATGATGGGCAGTGTAAGTACGAAAATAGACTGTTAATGAAACATCCCAGGCTGGAACGCACCAGGTGGGCCGGTGCGGCTATGCGTTTTTGCACTTTTCGTGCCGTGGCAAGATCGCAAGGAATCAAAGTAGCTAACCCTGTGAAATACTGGCCCACGAAGTTCGGGAAGTTAATTGTGTAACTATGTGGTATGTCAGTTGTAGGTGTCGACTTCAGTGACCCGGCAAATAGAAAGTTGCCGGTCCACAAAAACGGCCACACTAGAAGAGTTAAATCCGAAATCTTTTAGTCGCACATGAGTAGGGGACATTCCCTTAAAATGAAAGTTTTCAACTTTTCCCGTTCCCGGGTTAGCAGTTTCCCCATCAAAATTTTCAAGTGTCTGTGCGAGAGTGCGGACGATTTTAAGGAGCTGAATTTGAAATCTTTTGGTCATACATGATTAGGGAACATAGCTCTAAAGTTTCAGCTTTCTAGCTTTTTTTTTCCCGGGTTAGTAATTTCCGCGCCAGAACTTTCACAAGTAACGCACGTGGGTTTCGGCGCCTCTAAACAACTGATTTTGATTTTACATGACTAGAGAACATTCCAGTAAAATTTCAGCTTTCTAGCTTTTTTCGTTCCCGGGTTAGTGATTTTCGCGACAAAATTTCCACGTGCCCGTACTTGGGCCCCGGGTGCTTCTAAACACCTGATTTTGCTCGTACATGAGTGGGCAACGTTCTCTTAAAGTTTCAGTTTTCTAGCTTTCCCCTTTCTCGGGTTAGTGATTTTCGCACCAAAATTTTCACGTGCTCGTACGTGAGCTCCTGACGATCCTAAAAAGCTGGATTTGAAAACTTTTGGCCGTACATGAGTGTGGAACATTCCTCCAAAGTTTCAGCTTTCTAGCTTTTCTCATTCTCGACTTATGAATTTTCTTGTCGTAATTTTCACGTGCTCGTAAGTAAGCCCCGGGCACTCCTGAGCAGCTGAATTCGAAATCTCGTCATACATGGGTAAGGAACATTCTCCGAAGGTCTTAGTTTTCTAGCTTTTCTCTTTCCCGAGTTAGCGATTTTCGCGTCAAAACTTTCACGTGCTCGTACGCGGGGTCCAGACGTGCATGAGGGTTGAAAACGCGGTCCTGGGGTGGTACCTGGCCGGGGAACATACTGGCAAAATTTCAGTTTCAAAGTTTGCGTGGTTAGCGAGTTGAAATACCCGGATAGACGAACACACACACACACACTGACAGGATAGTTGCAATATGCGTTTTTGCTGCCTGCTGCAGCGCTCTAGCGCTACACGGCAAAAACGCATAAAAACGACAGCTGGTGTAGGATTTAGCAAAAGTTACGAAAAGAGGAACAACGCATCATACTGACTAGTAGGATCAATAACTAGCCAGTGTTACACAGATTGCGCAATTTTTATGAATCCGGTTTCTTTTGTTGTTCGTTTTCAAGTTTATTCAGAAGATATAACGAGGAAGCGGGTAGCGGTGTTGGATGTTCCCATATGCAGAATCTAAAGCGCGCGAAAATTGATTTGACATTATCGAGCTCAAAAATGTCGGAGCTGCACTTTCAAAATTCCCCCTTAACAGTCGCATTTTAGAGTTGAATATTATCAGGTCAGCCATACATAAATTTATTTACCTATTTGTTTGTTTGTTTATTTATCTATTTACTTCTTTACCTATCCATATATATATAT